CAACTCCAACCCAGCTCAACCATTTGATAGTAGTGTCAGTGATGCAGGCCTATACAACTGTGTGATCATTTTATGGAGATTAGACCTTAAATTCTTTTAACTACCATACGCATGGTAAGAATTTATCCTACTTCATACTGTTTGAAGGAGACAATTTGAAGATTTTACTGGCATCTTCCAACTAAAAATGCTCAGATGAGGGTTGTGCGCACACACCGCACACACCACACACAATCAGACACATTCATGATGGAATTGTGAATTTGCATGGTTGGTTTCCATGTCCCAACTCGTTTGCCGAAAACCAGCCAGCGGGCCGACATGTATCTTGTAGACATCTCCTGGTATACCTGTTATCATGTAGACAGCTCCTGGTATATATCCTGAGTAGACCTCAAAGATCCTCGGATCCAAATCCGAAACACTCTATGGACTCCATAGGACGCTTTGGAAGTTGCAGTGAGACCTTACCACTGTCCTCAGTGTTGAAGAGTGGATGAAGAACGCTCGCATTCAACCTGATTCGTCTCTGGGTCTTGCCGTCATGGCATCCGGACACACCCTGGTTTGGCTGCTTCGCGATGAACCGCCATGAACGGGAGGTGAACCGGACCCCCCCCATGCGGCCGAGGGGTAGGGGGCCTCTGGGTTGGGTACTTAAACAGCCTTTTGGAAGCCAACAAAAACCCATCATCTGATTCAGGGATGAAAGGTCTGGGTGATCTCATTCAGGCTGGAGCCCTGAATGAGAGGTCTATCCGTCTTGATAGCACCGTTTAAGAGGCTGAAAAGAGGCCTGACACAGAGGGTATTCTGATGTAAGTATTCGGTCCGTTTTCTCCGTTTCGGAGCAGAAGAAAAAGGAAGACACATCTTCCAAATGAGCTCCTCACTGCGGGTGTGTATTTAATGCTTTGGAAAGCAAATAGAAAACATTAGAACACATATTTCGTATGGTGCAATCGGTATTTCAATGAACAAACCGAACCAACCCGTTTCAACGAAACGATTGCCATAGCAGGAGCAGAAGAGCCGTGTGAAACATGGTCCCGTACTGAATGGCGCTAGCAGGTATTTCTTACAACGGCCACGGCCAGGATGTTTTGATCCAAGCTCTTAATGCAGACTCTGAAGCAATAAGCTCTCCCATTTGGATTGAAATGGATTGAACAACCTCTTCATACGGCAGGATATATTCATCAAGAGTCCCCTAGCAGTTCGTTCTGTGAGTCTGCTGGGGTGTACTCCAATCCCCCTCGGCCCCTCGGCCCAGCAACAATTCTTCTTCGCTGTACAAAGCCATCTCCTCACGGAATCCGAGGAAAAACGAAACCAATCGGTCGTTCGCCACACGAACGCGGAGACAGAGCCAACAACGGTTGAAGAACCCGACTGTTCGACTATCCCAGGCCAGGGTACCCCAGGTGACGGGTTATATCACTGGCTACCTCTCCTGGAGCGGATGTTCCAGAACTGACCTACCTGCCCTATGGATCCACATACCAAGCCTACAGGTTCGGTACTTGGACCCTCCTGGCGCCTACATAAATACTCTCCGTCCTCACCGTACCTCAGGTTCGGTATGTGGATCCATAGGGCTGGTGGCATGTTCAGCACAGCGATCGGCCCTTTTGGGGTGAAGGACTAGAGGTTCCCACGTCGATCGGCACCATCTCTCACCCGAGAATCAAAAGATGGGGTGACCGGCCAAAAATGGACTGTTCAGTCCAGTGGGGTGGCCCCACAATGGGTCCATGGCACAGAACCTTCAAGATGAAGATGTCATCTGTGGGGTCCAAGCAGCCACAAGCAAACTTGGACATTAGTGGCATCTACTCTGAAACCACTAACAATACCCAGACACTCCATGTATGCCATATATGCCTACATTGGGGTGGTTTTGGGGGTCAATGTAGGCATATATGGCATACATGGAGCGTCTGGGATATACAACAAGAATGACGCCTGGCACCTTTTACTGGTGAATGCACCTGGCACCATCTCCCTACCGCCTTCCCACCGGGAAAAACCAAAACAGTTCACGGCTTTGAACCACATGAATCATCATGAATCAACTATCTTTATATAGAAATCCCTTTGTTGTTCACCAACTGGTTTACTGGTTTACTGGGCTACACCCTCAATCAACGACCTTTAGATCCCTAGCTGGCAGCTGCTGGGCGCTACTGGCAACGGAGCTCCCCGGAGCGCTAGGCCATCGCCTTCGTTCCCAGGTAGAGCGCGCACACGAGAGCGCAGCTCAGGAGGAGGAGGACATAGGAGCAGAGCCTTGCGGCCAAGGACGAGATCGTTGATAAAAACATCATTTAGAAAACAACATCTTCATGGTTCTTCAAAGTGACCTTTTGATGACCTGGTTGGTTCGGTCACTTAAGCCTCCTAAGGGTCACTTAGGAACCTTCAAAAGGTCACGAATTGAAGAAGCTGGTTCATGGAAACCATCTATCATCTAGCAGCATCCGACTTCACAGGCCAACTGCTACTTTTAAGTCTGCATTTCAGCCGCCAAAACTCGGAGACCTGTTGGTTTCGGTGCTGGTTGATAGATTGTGAGATATTTATTTGTGTATAAAATACTATGCATGTAACATAATCAATGACCAGCATAATCATTTGACATCATACACATGTATTATCAATTCATAATGCTTGCAACCATGATGGACCACAGTAATTCGATGTTATCATAAAAGACCGTCGTGGACCACTTTTTGGTCAATTCATAATACAAACATTCTATGCTTGGTCTTTTTGGTTGGACTCACGCATGACTGACCAGCAGTACCATCTCCCAGTGGCAGTTCTTGGAGGGTAGCTCCCAGGGTACCCGTTTCTCCGCTCACTTGGGTGGGTCAAAGCAAACGTACCCCAACTGGGAAATTCTCCGACACAAGCACTGCTACAACAGATATCTAACTTCTTCCCATGTTACCACATGAGTTGCTGTAAGAACTCCTAACTGGATCTAACATGGAAAGTGCTGAGGAATATTCTGACAGATGCCATGTTCAAGAAAGGCTACGTTGCACACCACTCTGATCCCGAAATCGGACATTGGTGTGGACAAGGATGGATATGAATTATGTAGTTGCCAAGAGGCCGGTGTCAACAAGCAGCATGAGGCTGGTGGCTTCAAGTCAACCAATGAGGCCAAGTGATGAGGCCAGTGAATCATCAGCATTTCAGCCAGTGTCAATCAGTCTCCAAACCCCCGTTTTGGGGCTCCAATTGGCCGGCCTATACCTCCGTTTCGGTGGGCCACATGGGCCAGGGGGTGGGGGTGGGACGTGGGAGTTTGAGGTTCTCAGGCCCCCATTGACCTTCAGTGACCCGGACCCTGTCAGGTCATGTCAGGTCTCTTGTGAAAGGGTTCCGATCCCCGATCCTCGCCCGGTCGTCCAAAAAAGAAGGGACTGGACTGAACGTCTCAAAAAAACACAACAAAAGCATGTGAAAACGCCATGTGTCATGGTGTGAAAAAGGTGAGTGCACAGACAAATGTGCACACATGAGAAAAAAAACAAGAAACACCGGGTGTTCTGGTCACCCGTTCATTTCTCCTTCCTCTTCCTGATTTCTCGCCAGGTCTTACCCTGCTTCAACCGCCTTCCCCTCTTGTCCTCCGGCCCCCTTGCGCCTGGTCCGGAAAGAGCTCATGGCTCGATCTTTGGAGCTCATGGCCCACCGAAAGTATCGAAAAACTCCGTGGGAAGCTGAGTTTGGGAGAGTTTCTGGGAGTTTCGAGGAAAGATACATCACCAGTTTCTGTGGATTCACTCAGAACCAGGAAAAGAACAATCACCCTTATTCCACAACATCAGGAAAAGGCTGGAAAGGGCTGATGTTCCATGATTCGAGAGCTTGAGAAGCCATTGGCTTGGCCTGGTAAGGGATCGAGACTGAACGTTTTCCCTTCCGATTCATCCTGTGGCGGATACATCTCAGCAGCTGACAAAGAGCTAAGTCTTCTTGATCCCCATGGTGCTGTATTATGCCATATTGATCAGCCTCTAGATAGACGAAACGACAAAGGCTGGGGCCCTCCCAAGGTAATTATGATGGTTTCCTTTGTTGCAAAGCCTTTGGGTTCAGTGTTCTTCTTGATTCACCTCTACTCTACTCGGGCGCAGTGCCTAAAGAGGCGCGCGCGCGCCGGCGGAAGCGGCGCGATGGAGCAGACCCTCTCGGGACCCATGAACCGGCTTTTTGCCACCAACGCTGAGCGTAGGCTCGCAACCATCTCATAGCGGTCTCTTCAACCCCGGTGTCTGAAGGACAAGCATTGTCCACCGAATCCCACCTAATCCCGCTGGTGTAGTCAAGTTCCATATACATTTCCCATGTCCGGTGGACAAAGCATGGTTCTTGAACCCTCACTGGCCCAACATCACTAAAATTGCTCAAATCCTATGGGGTTGCTTTTATTGGCAGAAATGGTTGTAGTTAACCTGGTTTGTTTAAGTTGAGTGGCGATAGTTCACCCCAGCATACCCCAATCAACACGGTTGCACACCAGTGGACCGTGGATAATAATGTTGATGATATCCCCCGGCGTGCCAGTTACCCACTTCTGTCAGTCAGAGTTGTCCAACCAATGGTGGCTTGCATCAATGCTTTTCCGGGTCTGCCAACGTTGATAGATATGTTACTTGTGTTTATAGATGTTGACCGTTGACCTGTAAACAAATAAACATGTCCACAAGTCCACATTCACATCTCTCTCATCACTCTTTCGGATGGTATCTAGTCTCGCTTTCGGTGTGTCCATGTCCTCTGCGTGTCCGTGTGTCCGTGTGTCCTCCGTGTGTCCGTCCTTTCTGCAGGTCAGGTCAACCTCCGGAAAGACGGACAAGCTCAATGGTCCACCCGGCACTTGTGCGTCTTTCCAGAACCACCAACAGAGGTGGGTTGAATGACCCGAACTAGACGTCGTACCAGTTGGGTACCCCAGGTTTTCCGGGTCCACTGAACTAGGTCACTGAACCTTTCCGGAACCACTTCGCGTCTGTCGAGAAGGAACCACTTCGGGGCTGGAGAGACACAGGTCTGCCCGACCGGTTGACACCAAACGACCGGTGTGCTCAGTCACGCAGTCAGGTACTGTACCGTGCCCCCCAAAAAAGAGCAGAAGAGGTTTTGCTTTCAATCAACCCCACCCCAACGCCCCAGCCGCTCGCCCCAGCGCCCTACGCCGCAACATGTTCCCTAGCGCTCCAAGTACCTCCTTAGAAGGTACTTAGACCCTCTAAGCCCACCCCAAACACCTTCTAAGAAGGTTCTTGGAGCCCTAGGGGTTCATTAAATGTATCAAACCCGACTCATCGGAGTTTGGTCGAAGTGTGGATTCTGCACATGTTGGTTTCCCTAGGGCCTAGGGATACACATAGCACCAAACCTGAGGTACGGTGAGCAAGGAGACTGTTCATGTAGGCTCCCGGAGGGCCCAAGTACCTCTTGAGAAGGTATGTGGATCCCTAAGAAAGGTTGGTTTGTTTGTTATTTTAAATTTACTTATGGTGGGTCATATATATTTATTTCTTATTATCTAGCCTTTTAATTTTATATAAAGATTACTATTTTAAATTAAAAGGCTATATATAAATTAAGAGTGCAAGAGTATTTTCATAATATAGAAATCTCTCATAATAAAAGACTTTTGCTTACAGGATTCTTTTATTCACCATTTTTCCATTATTATTATTTATATCTTTTATTGGAAAAATGGTGGGGGAAAAATGCAATAATAAAAATAATTGTTGTCTTAGCATTTTTTCCCTTTATATTAATAGAATTTAATAGACATTTATTGACCGATCAATTAATCGGATGTGATCTTTAATTATTTGTGATCACAGGTCATATTCTAGCTCATTTTTATATTATTTACGCCGTTTATTTAAATTAAAAGATTTCTATAATAATAAACGGCGGGTCACCTTTATTTTTATCTTCCTCCTCTTCTTTTTTGTGTCTTAGGGCAACCGCTGTGACTGAAAGTGAATAAAAATAAAGGTGACTTTAATCTATAAATATTGGCTTTTTAAATTATAAATAACTTCTTGGCAATTTAAAAAGCCATCATGAATATTAAATATTAAGAGACTAGACGATGACTCTGGGACACAAAGAAATTAAAGTCCCAGTCATGAAAAGTAAATATAGTAAATTAATATATGACCACCAATTTTAATGATAAGAAAAGCAAAATAATATATTAAAATTGGTGGATAATGGGGCCAAAAATAATATAAGAAATTCATGGATTATTTTTGGCTTGGGTTTCTACTTCTTTCCTGCTCTTGGGATTACACCGCCAGGCCAAGAGCAGGGGGGCCCCAAGTCAGTGAGGGTGCTCAGGGTCTTATTGTCAGGCCGTTGGCTTCTTCGTAATCAAGGATGACTCAATTTCTGGCCACCACTCGCCTAAAATTGAACGGCCTGACCAACATGAATTTAGTTTAATGTATTCACCATTTATTTGTATTAAGAAATTTCATGAGCAAATAAATGGTGATGATATAAGAGATAAGGAATAACAAATATTGGATTTCTTATTGTCATTCATTTTTTTCCTATTTTTTCACAAATTAACATACTTTGCGTCCCATTTGATACGAGATGACACAGAAAGCTCGGATAAATTCAGAAAGTGACATACAACAACTCTTGGTCAAACTCGGATGAGTCCGAGGCCCATTGACTAGGATGCTACTCTAGTATGGTACATACTCCAAAAGCTGGGGATGAGAGTCCCATCTTGGGGGTTCTGAACAAATACACCTCCACTCGCCGGCCGAGTTCGGATCGCACCGGCGGTTAATGGCCGGCAGATCGGCTGACGGGCGGGGGCCTCCAGCTGTGCGTCTTGCAAGAAGGCCTCGAAGCTGGGTAGGACCTGTTGGAGCGCGAAAACCTTGCTGCTTGAATTACACCCTGGAAGAGACCCACAAGGAACCTTGGAAATTGGACCAGACTGGAAGACCACTTTCCTCTACAACCCCCGTGGCTTTCAGGTTCCATGTGGGTCTCTTTGAGGGGTGCAGATTTGATATCCAAATCCGTGCACAAATCGAAGTGCACCGCTCAACAAGTTCCTTATTTACTTAAAATATCTTAAAATTATATCCGGTTTTCTGCTCTCAAATGACCAACAAACCAACACTTTACGTGCTGCCTCGACGTATTCCAACAGGCTCTGGAGGTTTCTTCGCATCATGCACATCTGATGGGCCATTCAGGCCATGTCACTGGGATCGCTGACGTAGGATCGCTGGCATACACCCCTATTAAACTTCAGCAATCTATCACCCTGGAAGACTATCATGGACCCTGAAAACCACTGGTTGGTAGAGGAAAATCGTTTTCCATGGGGCCATTGTCAGGGTCTATGTTAGTTTTCGGGAGTGTATCACCAATCCATCCCCCTCCAGCACTCTTGCTCGTCACCAGAAGGGGCTCCGCAACAGGGCTCCACAACAGGACTCCGCCGGGATTAAAACCGCGACCACCAAGGACACCCAAACTCACTCACCCAGTCACTTGCCCAGTCCCTCATCATCTTCATCCCGCCGAAAACACACCTCTGACTCTGGTGACTTCAAAGACTCTGTGCCTGTTGTCAACTTCTGTTAGTGTCCCCTGGTACCACATCCTCGTTTGCCTCGTTTAAACACCAGGGGCGCCCACCCCCACCACGCACCCCGCCCCAGTTGCACCGTCATCCCACTCACCGTGGCCTCCTGTTCCACAAGATCCGGTCCCAAGGACTGAGCGACCTCGTCTCGTCTTGGCTGGGCTACGAGACGACGAGTCTGATCAGCGCGCGGGCAGAGCGCTGCAGAGCTTGGAAGGGATCCAAACGATGCACATTTGACTCATGTGACCCCTAAAAGCACCCAAAGTCACATGGACCCAACCACTGGTTGGTAGAGGAAAACCCTCTTTTTCAGGGCAATTCAGTCATTGGACCCGGGTCATATGTGAGTTTTCAGGAGTGTTTTCCAAAAAGACTTCATGGTTCAGTCCGGTGGATGGCACAGCCCTAAAAGGATGATCGAACGTGGCGATGGCGCAGGAAGATGACACAGCGGTGTTCGCTCCCTCCACTCCACTGGACCATGATTCTTTCAGGCGAGTGTCATTGCCAGTGCTTTTAAAGATTTCCAGGTTCTCTCAACCTTCAAAAAGCACTGGCAATGACACTCGCAACCTTCCATGTTATGTCATTGTTCTCTCCAACCTTCCCTTTTCTCAGCCACTGCATGGGAATGAATCCGTCAGTCACCCTGTAAGCTGCTCACTCAGCCCAGCTGTCAAAACAATAAACCAACCTGCGCGGCCGCGGCCCAGCCGTGTCCAGCTGTCGCGGCGCAGCCGTCCGTTGGGACGCCCGGGCAACGTGACAGGATGCCGCCATGGCCTGGCGCAGCGGCCGGTCTCCAAAGGGCAGTCTTCAATGAGGTCGGCCCTGGGGAAGTAGAGGGGTCGATGGACATCCATAGACCGAAAATGGGTTGGGTATATTCCATGTCCCTCCCCCCAGTGGATGATGGTTAAGTTGCAGGCGTTTCTCTGAAATCTCACCCCGATCTAGTGGTTGTACTCTGGGGGCATCCCTTCAATCAATCAACGAAGCAATGGTAAAGGGCCAGGGCCATCTATGGTGAAAATGTTGAGGGGACTGATTCGTAACAGTCCATTACAACCCCAA